TGTCAGAACTGAATGTGTGTCCTTGTTCACAGTCACAGTCATGTGTGGCTAACATGAATATGTATGACAGTAACTCCACTGGAAGGGAGTCAATATGACATCATGGGACAACCTGGCAACTCATGGAATGATATTTGAGTGAGGTAAATTTGATGGTAGATGATGGCCTGAGATAGTCACCTGTGAAGCACCTCTCAATAGTACAAACACTTAAGAGCAAGAACAAGAGTAAGCTTGGATGAACTGATGAGTTAGATTTGGCAGCAGCTATGGATTGATGAGTTGAATGACATGGTAGACAACATAGAAAGCTGGTGAGAGCAAGGGAAGTGCACAACAGTACAAACTGTTTTAATGTGACAGGTAGATGAAAAAGGAGTGTAGATTGTCTCTTGGAATTATAAGGGATCAATAACAATGGAGGTTGGTGTGGAAAGTGGAAGTGGAATGCAACAATAGAGGGTGGTGACATGTGGGGTTTAAACTGAATATGTGGACAAACACCGCTGAAGTTAAATGAGGACAAAATGGAACTAGTGATGATAAGAGTACAAATATTTCACACAAGTAGGAAGGTGAATGAGTCAGGTGATGCTGATGATATTATGCACCATTGTATGTATATATGTAACTTTTTAAATTGAAAATAGAGGTAAATTTGTGTAGTACAGTGTTCTATCATGTGATGACAATGATGGGGAGAAGGGAATATGATGATGACCAATTAAAGTCAGGAGGGCAAGCAGGTAACAAAAAACCACACATGATCATACATCCAGTCATGCTGTGTGAATAGGCTGAAAGGTCATCCATCAGTAATGCCGAGCCAGGGAGTAGGAAGATGAGGATCATGGAGGTGAAAGATCATTGAGTATTACAAGCTTGATGGTACAAACCAGCAAGCTACTAGCAATGAAAGCTTCAACATCTGTCAATGGCCATCCTGACAAAATTGCAGCTGAATAAATGAAAGACACAACAATACAAATTGTCATGCCATAGCCAAGGAAGATGGATGCAATGGTACATACTGTCATACCAGGGAAAGGAAGTGGTACTATGAACAACTACTAAGTCTAACCAAGTGCATATGTGACATTATTACATATATCATTTATCATTGTCTGTCCACTTGATTCATTGTGCACAAAAAGTTCGAAAGTCTTGACTCCCAAGGCAGAATCATTATGTAATTTGTTTAGCATTGTTGTGATCTTTCATTGCCAAAGTTCCAAGTCCATTCATTCTCACTATACACTTGGTTTATAAGCCTCATCTTTACCTTTACTTGTCCTTGCACACAGACTTGATGGTTTGTACTGCTGAGCTCATCATTGTTGGGGTCCCTAGTTATACTCACTTTTCTTCACTACGGCATGACTGTTTGTATGGTCACATCCCCACCTTTCTCTCCTGATTTCATTGCCCTGAACTATCACTGAGTTCCTCATTACTCCCTGGGTTTGCTGTCCTCCCTCTTTTCCACATGGCATGACTGTTTGTATGGTCATGTGCATCTGGTTAGGGTGGATGAAGTACTTCTTACAGCATCCCTTGTGTCCCCACCTTTCTCTCCTTATTTCATCACCTTGAATGTCTTGAGTCCTTCACTACTCTCTGGCTCAATATCCCTGATGGTCTTCTCCCTTATTCACATGGTATGACTGTATGTACCATCATGTCCACACCTTTCTCATCGATGTTCCAAGTCCTTCACCACACTCCACACAATGTAGCATCAATCACAAGATGCTGTGTCACACATTTGTCTGTTGGCACTCAAGTGGCTTTGCACAGACTCTACAGCAGATACATGTGCACCACAAGCCATGTAGTTTCAGTAGGGTGCAGGGTGGGTTTGCATTCATCTTGCATGTGAGGCCTTCACACATTGCATGTAGGTGGAAGTGTTGATCTTAGCCACAACTTCAGAGGAGGTGAGTGGGGTATGTGATGTGCTTCAGTACCATATTTTCCATACCTAACATCTCTTCGCTACATCATTGATTTCAAAGTGGTTCAAGTGGAGTGCACACATAGCATTGATATGAATTGATTCTGCCAGATCTCATTCCATTTGTCATATACCCAATATCCTTACCACATCCCTACTATATTGTGCCCATTCACCAACAGTATGTTACTCTTGCTGTCTACCATATGCAGTTAATTCTACATGGGTAGCAGCTTTTAATTGTTTTAGAAACTGAGTATTGAAATAAGGATGAGGGAATGTATGAGACCAGCTGGATATTGGATAAGTACAAGTAAGTACAAGTGGGAAAAGTATCAGAGACCTCAATATTGGAGAAGTACAAGTGGGAGAATAATTAGTGGAGACCTGGTACTATATGTCATAAATAACTGCTGATATCCAAATGGTAGGGATGCTCTGGGTAGTGAAAAATGTCCTTCAGCTCCTGCCACTCAGATGATGTTATGCTTCCAGGTCTGAGATAAACTTCTTTGACATGGTCAAAGACTCCTAGCCAAGGACTGCAGCAGAGCTATATGCACATAACATTAGTTTAACCCTGATTGTAGCTTTGCATGTGGCACTCACCAAGGGGTATTGATCTGAATATTTATACCAATGTGGTAGATAAATTGTGAGTTTCTTCACAGGAATAGTTTGGTATTCGTCCAATGGGACATCAAAACTTCCAGAAATCAGTGATCCATGATAAAAGCTCAGTCCCAGGCAATCTATAGCAACAAATTGTTGAGTAATATCCAGGATTGCAGACAAGTAATTGGGAGTGAATGCCAGAGATTCCTCATCAAGGTACAATTTGAGTGTTTGAATGTGTAGAGGTGCATGAACTTTGTGTAATAGAGACACAAGGTACCACAGTGGTCCAGCTGAGAATGCATAAACTATGTAAAGCAATATGAGGGGTATCTTTTTTCTGCATATGATGATGAGGATCAATGCATTGACCATAAAGCTAAAGCTGGTGAATATCATGTCATGGCAAGAACTCGACAAGAGCAGAAGTTTGACACTTGATGTCAATAGATAAAAATATAAGCTGCAGGAGATGAAGGTCATGCATTAACACTGTCCACTGAAGGGCATTCAATGAAGTACATGTAAGGCTGAGGTTGGTCAGTGAAGAGTTTTGCAAGGATGAGAGGGTGAGGGAAACCATGGATTGAGAGAAAAATATAGGCAAGTTTGCATGGAATGTTTGAAAATTACATCAGTTGGGGGGAGGGTTGGAACAGCAGCCAAGTCAGGAAGAATCAGCAGAGGATATGCATGGTAAGATGCCTCCTGATCTGAGAACTGAAGGCTCATGCAGCTCAAGTCTTGGATGGACTGGAACAGAGGCACAAAATCTCCAAGCATTTCACCATCTTTTGTGATAGAGACAAAGAACACTTGCATGCACTCAAATGACTCTAAGAAACCTAGGAGCACCTTGAGGTGGTGATCATCTGCATCAAGAAGATTGCATCACAAATACTTTGGCATATGAAAGAAGGTTGTGTGCCTGTACAGGAGCAGGGCAAGACAAGCTTGGGTGCTGATGAGCAGGGACTTGTCATCAAACTGCAAGCCTACAGAATGAAAATAGAGAGGTGCCACTAGCTCCCAAGAGAGACAAGATACCTGTGCAATAGACCTGCAGATCCTGAGCTGGTGTTAAGGTCATGTGCTCAAGGGGGTTGGATCACAAGGGCTTGGCCTCAGCTTGTATGCTGTGCCTCTTTCCCGAGTATGTGCCCTTAATTTCAGGGGCTAGAACAGTCGTCCAGATCTGAAATGTGAGATAAATCCGATGGACATCCAGATGTTACCTGGGCAAGCGGATAAGACTAATCCAGACGAAGTCCGGACTAGAAACTAACAGAGGATGGACTACCCTTAAGGTAGAGTCGGAAATGTAGTCTAGGATGCAATCCTAAGACTCGGAATATGACAAGAGACTTATCTTGAGTCTGGAGGACACAGGAATGAGCAGGAACTAAGATGATATTTGAACTGGAGTATTTCCGAGAGTTACAGGAGGTTTATATACTGTAGGTATCATATAGGAATCAGTCAGCAAACACAAAGGCTATGTACAAAGCATATGCAAAGTCTATTAGTAAGTAAGACGGATCACCAATAATGCATATCAGAAATGAAATGTATGTAATGGATTAATGATCAGAAGAAAAACGTAGTTAACCAGAGTCCAGAGACAGAGGAAGTCTAAATGGGGTTGGGCACTGATATAGAGTTTGGATTCTGGAAGGGAGATAAAGATAGATCAGATCATTGGAGATCTGGATATCTGGAGAAGCAGATTTAGAGTTAAGGGTCCAGAATGGCATATGACACTTCCACAGGTTTGGATATATCACACATGACAGATGCTGCCAGGGCCCACAGAAGATAGGAGGCATAAGTGCACCTCTTGTGAGAGGGATGTTGAGAACTGTCTATGAAGTCATCTAGAGCCTTTTGCTTTAAGGTTACATGCTCCTTCATGTAGTTAGTAGGTGGCATTATAGTGGTAGCTTCAAATTTAACATACCTCCAGGGAGTGCAATGATGACAGGGAATCCACATATCTGAAGTTTGACAACATCTGTAAAAAAAACTGTGTATCAGTGAGAACAGGTTTGACAGGAGTGGCTTACATTTTACAGGTTTGGCTTTGAAAAATCGGTGTAGCTATGAGGGATGAGTGCTTATTTTATATGATCAGCGCCACCTTGCAAAAGTGCACTCAACACCACCCCTATTTGTTTAGGATTTTGGTTGTTATTGATAGTGTTGCAACAACAGCACAACAATTGTGAATTGACACAAATGCAGATCAAAGTTCACAGGGAGAGTGTGGCTTCTCCATAATAGACTACATCATGATATCAGTATGATCAGAATGTAACTACTCTCAAATGCAACTTAATAAATCATTAATCAGGGTCCATAATTGTTTTTTTTTGTTCTGGAATTTGAGATGACAATACACTTGGGATGACAATTAAGTAAGGAAGCAACCATAATGCAATCAAGGGCTACTATGACTGGGTCACAAACAATGATTACAGTGTAATATCATCTTCCAAACTTAACTTGGTAAGTATGACAGAAGTTGTGGGATCCAACTTGCCTTCTTGCAAACACAGTGTGTTCAACATGTGGTTCAGCCCATATGCCAAAGCTTCACCACACACCTAAAGGTTCTTGGAGGCACATGAGATTCAGGAACTTGAATGGGGAATCAAGGCATCATTGAAATCTTATCAGCTTGCTCTCCAATGGCATGAAGACAATGTTGTGAGTCAATCACTTACCAACATTTCATAACTGACAAATGTCAGGGCATCTGGATAGAACCAGATATGGATATTGACCTACCCATGAGTTCTGCTAGTGGGACATATGGATGTGTGGACACTGCTATGGAAGATGATGAGGTTAGCACAACCACAATGTCAATAAACCCTGCAGCTTACCAAAAATAAGATCCAATCCCTGGCTGTCATTCTGGTGAGAAACATTGCCAGTGGTAAAAGTAAGGGGCACCAGTCCCCTAAGAGAAGAAGACTCATTCATGGGCTGCAGAAAAACTGTGGACAAGTATATACAACATCACCTTAAACTAATGGATCCATGCACTGACCAGGTTCACAAGTGCATGCATCTAGCATTCCAAACTGCATTGATATGCATCAATGTTAATGATATGGTGCTGCTTGTGCAGAGCCCAGACAGACCAGTAAGACAGATGATTCACTTCAGGTGATCTAAATGAATTGAATATCAATAAAAGGCCCAACCAACAGACAATTATCTCATACCACATGTGATCACATATTGCATCATGAATGGTGTGACAAGCAGACTCCAATTGCTCAGAATGGCACTGGGCACTGACATTGAAGGATTTAAAAACAATCTCCAGGGCAGGTAAGTGAGCATACCTTGAAGCATGATAACACTCTTAATGAAGAGATAGGGTCTACAATGCCAGGAGAATATCCTGAGGCTGAGACCATGAATATCTGATCACAACATAGGATCAAGTTGGATGTAATATACACAGCATACCAGTCTCTGATATGTCTCCCCACTTGTACTCAACTTGTACTTCTCCAATACCTGGTCTCATATGTCTCCTTGTACTTGTACTCATCCCAATATGAAGCTTGACACAATGTCCATAATCTTGCTGCACTGGAAAACAACAATGGAGGGATTGTGGGGATCAAGAACAGTGAACATGACAGTACAGACTGTTGTACTTGGAGACCCACATAGATTGAGAAGGATAAACTCAATGGTACAAACCATTAAGCTCAGAAGTAGTGGGTGATGAACTCTGAGGGAACTTGGTTGGATTCTCAGTGATTAGAATTATTACATAATAAGCTGTGAACCTGACAGCCTTCCCATACATGCACAACTATATAATACATGACTGTATGTACAGTCACATACATTTACTGTACAGTGGCTCAAAAAACTGTCCACATGTTTTTGCATTTTTTACTATTTACAATATTGTGTGAGAATACATAAAGACCTCAGTGACATGCTAATACCATATTGTAGTGCTGCTTCAGGGCTTTGGATTGAGCACCACACCAGTGAGAATCAGAGGAGATATGGTGGAGATACAAGGCTTACAAAATCATGACTCATGCAGACAGTTTTTTGAGCACATATTAAAACTATATAAATCATATTTATGACACCATAACAATCATGCCACACCATTAAATAAATTATAAAGTGGTGTCATATGTTTATTTTAAAAACCATATCTAACTATACAAACCAAAAATTTTCCATAGGTCATGGTTATATTCACTGTTAAGAACCATGCTCAAAGAGAGAGAGACTGGACTCAGAGGGGCTTGGCCTCAGCTCGTACGCTGTGCCCCTTACCCTGAGTATGTGCCCTTCATTTCAGAGGAAGTCCGATAATGGTCTGACAAAGTCCAGAGGACTTCCAGAGGCTGGCTACTCTGGTGGAGAGTGCAGGAGGACTTCGGAGGAGTGGGGAAATGTCTGGAGGAGTGCAGAGAGAGTTCCAGAGGAATGCAGGAAATGCTCAGGAGAGTTCCCGCTGCAAGGTAATACTTCTACAGGAAAACAGGATGGAAGGGTAGGAGGTCCGGAGGACAGGATGTCTGGAGGTCTGGAGATGGAGGACAGGAGGTCCAGAGGTATGGAGGACAGAATGTCTGAAGGTATGGAGGGCAGAACATCCAAAGGACAGGATGCCCAGAGGTATGAGGGACAGGATGTCCGGAGGTACAGAAGACAGGAGGTCCGGAGGTCCAGAAGGAATAGGGGCTACATTGGACTTCATCTGATGTAGAAGCAAATGGAGGTAGACTACCCTAAGGTAGAGTGGGGGACAGGAAGTGGACCTACATCCGGAAAGAGGGTAAGTGCCAGAAAGGCAAGACTCTAGCCTAGGGAAGCAATCCCTAGACTTGGGACAGAGACATAGGGGACAAATCCAAAGGTCCGGAATTCCAGCCTAGGGAATCCATCCCTAGGCCTTATGGAAAAGGACAAACTCAGATGGACTGAAGTCTGGAAGAAGATGGGCAAGTCTAAGGTATGACAGGATCTAAGATAATATTCAGACTGAGGACTCTACTGTAGTTGTACAGGGGTTATATACTACTAGAGGCTATCCAAGAGGATCTGTAAGCAAAGGAGTAAGGCTATGTATGAGCATGTGGAAACATTGGTAAGTAAGGACAGAGCATAAGTAAATGAACTCGGAGATGAAACTAGTACAAGGATCAATCAGCAAGATGGAAACAGAGATAACCGAGAAGAAAGGCAAAGATGCCTAAATGGGGATAGGCACAGGATGTGGACAGAGGGTGGGAATAGGTCGGAGATAGTACAGTTAATATCCGGAGGTCCGAGATCTGGGGATCCAGAATGCAGGGCAGAAACAGGACTGAGATATGTGAGGTGGTGGATGTAGTCTGGAATCTGAGAGGAGGTAAAGTCCGGATGTCTTGCTGGACAGAATGTGCATAGGGTGGACAGGATAGGGGATCCAGGAATGAGTTGGATATGGGGTCCAGAAATAGGTCCGGAAAAGCGTGGGAATATGATAGGATCTATGTCTGGCATACAGGATATGACAGTACCCCACAATGTGGTTTGCAACTGAATTGCAAAATTTCTTTGGATTCCAATGGTATCCAGCACCATTAGTGATGCACAGGGCGGGCCTCAGGCCCTCAAGCCCTGAGGACAGGCCTATGTAGGCCAGGCCAGGCTGGGCCCACATGCCAGGCTTACTAGGGCCTAGGGCCTGGCCTGTAGTTTGACTGGGCCCAAGCCCCAGCTTTTTCCTTTGTAAAAAGTCTGCAGCCGTTGGCCATGTTAAATATTTAAACTATACAGTTTAAATTTTCTCAAAAAGGCAAGTACATACCCATACCATAAGTTAGT